ATTTATATAAACTCTGGCAAAAAAATGTAAAGTTACGGGTATATAAAAAAAATTGATCCCCCTTTTTGTATGTCTATATATTAGTAATAAACTAAATAATAAAAAATATAAAATCATAAAATACATAGTATCTAATTTTTTTAAAAAAAATACAATGAGCGAGTTATATGGTTGCTTATAATTATAAATATCGTTCTGTATTTTAAATAAGTAGTATATTTTATTGAATTTATTATATGATATATCTCACAGCCTTTTCTATTTTATTTTGCTTTGACCAGCAAAAGATGCATTCATTACAAAGAAAGGAGGGAAATTTTCACTGAAGACCCCAAAACAAACTAATTGGAAAACAAGGCTCCTGAATTTTTTTATATCTCAAGTCAGTGTACTAATTTAATATTAAATTTTACAGGAAAATGACAATATTAAAAAAAATCTGTAATTGATTCTGATTTTAGGTATTTTAAGAATAAAAATATCATTAACATTCATGATAATAATAACGAATTATAAGTGAAATTTTAAGCTTAACTTCCGGTAGAGAGATGAATAAGGTTTGTAATTTTATTAGAGATTAGATTATGTATTATAGATTAAACTATTAATCATGTAACTATTTATTACATAATTTTTTTCAATATTAAAATATATATTTTGTATTCTTATTATTTAACATTTTGAATTTTATGTTATTTTAATTTTTTTCACATTTTTTAAACATTTCTAATATATTATATTTGTATAACAAAAATTATCAATTATCATAAATTAATATTCTTTTTAATCATTGCATATTTAAAAATACATTTCAATAGTACAAAACATCATTAATCTAAATAGTTTTTAATTTTTCAAACTAATTTTTGAAAAAATGTATCTAAATACTAATTTTATTATATCAACTGACTTTCACTAAACTGATTTTTGCCAAATGAATCTTTAATAAATAGACTTTTAAAAAATTAAAAACCAAATGCACACTTTAAAAGCGGGGAAAACTCTAAGGGTATGAGCAACTTAGATTCTAACATGTACAAGGAAAGAATCAATAGTGTGTTGTTGGTCAATAAAAATTCTATGGTTCCTAACTTTCCAAAGTTTCCAACATATGATTAGGGGTGTTCATGATACCCGGTATGCCTGCTTGAACTCGGTTATTTTTTGCTCAACCCAGCCTAAAAAAGAGCTTGAAATGTTCCGTGTATGTTTAGGTTGGGCAATGTGCGGGCAAGTCCGGGTAGAGGACAAGTCATGCAGCCCTGCTCGTTTAGCCCAACCTGCTTTTTTTAATTATTATTTTTTTAGTTTAAAGTTCAAGCTTATTGAGAGTGAGAGGGAATTGATCAAGTCAGATAAAAAAAGAAAGGGAAAAGATTAAGGTTAGAATTTTTCTATTGCTAATTTGCCATTTCCCTAGTTGAGACCGAGAGTCAAAGATTGGGGAAAGAACAAGAGCGACTAGGGAGTGAGCAACAGGCAATGGTGACTGAGCTCTTCTTTCCTCTCCAATCTCTTCTCCTAATTGAGCTCTTAAGCTTGAATGAAGTCGGATCATCTCCCAAATCCCATCAACGGCATGTAAGTGCGATGATCCCCTTCCCTCCTATTTGCGAATTAATGCTTAATCTTCACCTTCTCTCTTATGTGCAAGTGTGAGTGGCAATGCGACGTGCAACTGTGCGAAGGAGCTTGAGTGCTTGACTGAACTCAACATCTCTCGCTCCACCACTCTCCAATCTCTAGTCTCCACAGCTGCACAGCATAGTGCCGTTCCTAGCTTCCTTCTCTAGTCTCTCGGTCTGTCACTCTCGTTGCACAGAAGCTCTCATCTGCCTAAGTTTATGGTCTATCGCTCTCGTCGCACAGAAGGTCTCGTTTGCCCAAGTTCACAGTCTCATCTGCCTAAGGTAAGATTTTCTCTCAATTTTTTTCCATAATCTTGTCATGGCTCCCTGTATTACAGAAATATTTGATTTGAACAGCTCTGTTTTTAGATTCTTTCCCTTGAGGAGGTTCCTGGTTTATATTGTGAAATTTTTATGCTCAAAATTGATCTAATGTATTTTTGCTAAGAAATATTAGGCTTGGATGTTCAGTTTAAAACCTTGTATGCTTTCTTTGCGCTGATTGCTAAACATGTGGTTTGGCATTGCTATGGCTATATGAAGCTTTCTTTAACTACTACTTGGGTTGGTTGCATATATATTTCAATGTAATTATATCACATCTTGTAAGGTGTTATTCTCAATTTCCTCTATTTTTAGTTGCAATAGTGCATATCACATCCCATGCTACATGCATTTTGAAGATCTCGTCTACCTAGAGTTAGATTTTCTCTCAATTATTCTTATGCCAAATTCTGCCCAGGAAGTCAAGGAAAAGAATTGAATTAATGGAATTGGATTACATTTTGGACTTGGATTACATTTATGTGTGTGTGAATTTATTGTTGGACTTGGATTTGCACTTCTAAATGGATTTGTGTGTGTGTGAATTGTTATTGGACTTGGATTACATTTTGGAGTTATATGTGTGTGAATTATTGTTGGACTTGGATTAGATTTTTCTTAATTAATAATTTATGGTTCTGTACTTTTTTATGCTAATATAGAGGATCAAGCTTCTGTACACCCCTTACTTTAGTTTTTATATTAATGTAATTGTTTTTTTTTGTCTTCAGATGCAACACTTGGAGGGGAGAATGCAACTGTAGTGCTGGTTAAAGTGTTTCTTTAGAAGTAGTTTGTTTGCTAATTTTTCTGTTAATTTCTTGCTAACTTTTCTATTATTTCTTGCTAATTTTTCAAAAAACTTATATATTATTGTTGTTAATTCTCTCATATTTTGGTTCCTATTTTTCTTTAATTTTTTATGTATGTTCTTGCAATTTTTTTGTCTAGTTATGACATATTTTTTCTCTTCCATTCATGCAGGTTAGAAATTGGGAAGAGGCTATGAATTGGAGCCTACTCTTTGAAATTGTTATTTCTCATATGATGCTCCAAGCTTTTGTTATTTTGGATTATAGCTATTATTTTGGATTGAATTATGGATAATTTGATATTGTGCCAAGACTTGTGGTAGTTTTAGATTTCAAGTTAGATATTGAATTATGGATAATTGAATATTGTAGATTTATGGTTTATGATTTTATGGATGATATTTTGAGTTGATGCATAGAGTTATTATTGTTGATTTGTGATAGTTTTATTTTGAAATGATGAGAAGAGTTGTGATTTTATGGAAAGGGTTGTGATTATTTGATGGGCTAAGCGGCCCAAAGCTACCCAACCAGCCCTACCCAGCCTAAACTAACAGGGCATTTTACGGGCAAGATTGGGCATCGAGCAGGGTCTTGCCCAGCTTAGCTCTGTCCATGTACACCCTTACATATGATATTAATTCCCACTTTCCAAGATGCATTAACTCTCGTGGATTGAAGAATATGAACAATCTAAAACTCCATTCTATCTAGCTCAAAAAAAAAAAAAGAAGAAGAAAAGACTCCATGCTATCTTTCCAGAATTTGACATACATATCAGTTGGCAAGATCTTCTTCCATACAGAGGCAGCAAAAGAACAAGTCTTGAAAGCAAGATTAATGTCCTCCACTGAGCCATTGCAGAGTGAGCAACTTGGATCATCTGTCATCTTTCTTCTAAAGTGTTATGAGTTGGTCAGTAATTTGCTTTTAAGCATCAACCAGGTGAAAGTTTTGATTCTCTGAGCAACAAGAAGCTTCCATATGTGCTTCCACTTGGTGTCTGCAGTGTGCCAGTTGAGAGATTCAAAGGCCCTCTAGGCAGATTTGACTGTGAATGAACTGTTAGAGTTGAGATGCCAAAAACAAAAAGTGTTGGAGCAACTGGAGTTAATAGCGACACTATTGATTTGTTGAAGGACCGAACAGGGTAAGAGTTGCCTAAATAAGCTCAAGTGCTAGTGGCCATGTGCATCAATAAATTCTAAAATGGGCTTTTGCTGCTCAAATTCATCAATCTCAGCATATGATAGGTTTTTTAGAGGCCCCAAATCCCCAACCCAAAAATCAGACAAGGACTTTAGCTGATTGCCATCACCTGGCATCCATTTAACATGCATCATTGTATCCGTCCACACACTTGCAATGCTTCCCCAAAGATAAGATGGTTTAGACAAATTAAGATGTGAGGGAGACAAGTCATGGCTTAGACAAAAGGATCTTATTATCATAAGTCTGAGATCTAAAGTCCCAACATAATAAGATACCATATACAATTGAACACCTTTTACTTTTAAAAAGGAATACTACCGACACTGATTTAATTGACCCCATTAAGATGCAATTACATCTTTTCACTTGATTGTTTCCTTTAAAATAAAAAAAAAAAGCAAATTACTCCTTAAATGTGAGGTTTAGTTAAGTCATTGTAATTTAACAACTGTCATTAATAAAAATTAACTTTAATATTTAGTTAATCAAAAAATAATAAAAAAAATAAATAATTATAAAAAAGGATTAATTTTTTTATCCTTTTCTATAATTTTTTAAATCTTTATATGTAATGATTCTTTATTATAATTTTCTGCAATGTTTTATACTTTTTTCTAATCAACTAATTTTTCTTAACAACAAGAATAGATTACATTATTTTTAAGAATTAAAAAAATAATTTATATAATAAATAAATTTAAAATTTATAATATTGTTTGATTAAAAAGTTTAAAGTAATTTGCTCACTTATCTCCAAAAAAAGAAAGAAAGAAAAAAAGTAACCTCCTCGTGCAATCAATGAAACGGAAATCCCCTTCTCACAGGAAGTTCCAAGTTCCAACCCCATTTCAGAAGATTTTGCTTTTATCAGTATTAATTTTCTTTTGAAAAAGATCAAACATATATAGTTTTCTGCAATAAGTTACCTGAACCCTGTCAAAAAGGAAGTAAATTCACCAACTCAATTCCTGCTTTCGAGAACCAGATTTCTCAGACTGAACATGTTAAAACACACACACGCCCAAAACCACCACCACCGCTAATATTATTATTAATCCACAATAACACTTATGCAGGTGACCATACCAAAGTTGTTGATCAATTACATCTTTATTGAATCCAATCAATCTCCCATCCCATGAAAGTTAAACACAACCCAGAAACTGCATGATGATAATTCTTAACCCTGATTGATGAACGAGACGATAGTGTTGAGCATGGCCAAAGCATTGTCGCAGGTTGGATTGAACAGATGAAACACATGACCCTCGTCCTTGGCTTCCATGACTTCCACCATTCCCTTCCACCCACTCTTCTCCACCGCTTCCTTGTAGTACCAACCTCTCTCTTTCAGCGCATCCTTCTCTGCAACACAAACCAGTATCTTTCTGCAACCCAAGCTTCCCACCTTCGGATCCTTTGCCGGGTTCATTATTGGGTCGTCCGATCCTTCCGTCCTCGGGCACACAAAACGCCACAGATTATCCGCGAAGGACCTCTCCCTCGCTCCTGTCTTCTCCGACCCTATTGGCTCCACTCCCCAGAAGAATGGATGCACCAGAATGATCCCTTCCAGATTCACACCCGGTAATCCTTCCGCGCCGACGCGAATCGCCATGTGGTGTGCGATGGTCGCTCCGGCGCTGTCTCCGGCGAAGAATACTTTCTCGAAATCCACGTGACGGTTGAGTAGCTCCTGGGATCCGTTCCCACTGGAATGGGAAGCGACCCATTTGAGCGACGTCCAGGAGTCATCGAAGGCAGCAGGAACGGGGTGTTCCGGGGCTCTTCTGTAATCAACGGAAACGGCGACGACGTTGGCCGCGGACACGACGGAGTTGAGGTAGTTGTGGTACTGTGCGGTGAAGGGGGTTTCGATGACAAAGCCTCCTCCATGGAAGTAGACAAGAAGAGGAAGCTTGTGGCCGGGACCGATGATTTTGGGAGCGAAGAGCCTGGCCGAGATGGGGACTTCTTGGGAGATGACAACGTCATGGGATCGGACGCCAGTGTTAGGGTCGTCGGGGGACGGAGCAGCGAAGTCGGTGCCAATGAGTCTCTCAACGCGACCATCTCTGTAGACTTTGAGCAACGGGGAAAAGTCGTAGGCTACTTCGGCGGAGCTGGAATCCATGGCGGAGACCGTGAGTATTGTCTTTTTCAGTGAAGAAAGTAAGACACTGAAGAGATGAAGATAACACAGATAGAGGACGCAGGCCAACGTGATGTGGCGCTGACAGTTTCGTGCTAGCAGGTAGTAACTTGCTTTCACATCGAATGATTTTTGTTTTTTTTTTCCCTTTCTTTTTCTCCCGGTTCAGAGTACTCCGTAGTCCATAATAATGACATTATTATTATTATTAATTAATTAATTAATTTAAATTATACTCTCTTAAACTTTAAACTATATACACATAATTTTTTTAATATTTAAAACTTTATAATGAACCCCTCAACTCTTATTATATATTTATACAGATAACTTTATATGATAAATTTTATACATTAATTATTTACACATAACTTTAAATTTAAAAAGGTTATTTGTATATCAATTAAAGTTTAGAGTTTTAAATGCATATAAAAATAAAAATTTAAAAGAGAGTATAATTAATAGCTAAATGTTATTTGCATAAATCTAGAAGATCAATAAAATTTATTGTTAAGTTTTAAAGGTTATGAGAGATATTTGTATATAGTTTAAAGTTTGAGAAAGTTGTCTGTAATTTAATCTTATTATTAAATAATACCAATATAATATGACTATTTATGCATACGTGATATTAAAGTGATAAAGTGGCAGCTTGCATGAATATCAATGCATTTACTCACATAAACATATGACTGGAGAAATTTCAGTAAGAGACTTTTAATCAAACATAATGAAAAAGAGGACTTTAGAATTTTTAAAATTTCACAACTGGTATTGAATATTGAATTGAAATTAAATTTATGATAGAAATAATAAAATTACCCTCATTTAAATGAACAATATACCATATATAAGATGGTTTGTTTCTTATCATACTGTTATTCATTTACTTATGAAATGTTGTTCGTTTTTCTACTTCACTTGTTTACAGTCTTACTTCCACTTGATTTCATTCAAGAGCCCTAAACAAGTGAAGTAGGTAAACGAACAACATTCCATAAGTAAATGAACAACATACAATACGGTAACAAACAAGTCATTTTATTATAAAACTAACACTTAGAATGAAATCAAGTAAAACTAGGGCTATAAAAAAGTGACATTAGGTAATTAACAACATTTTATAAGTAAAGTAACAATATACAGTATGAGAACGAACAAGTCATCTTATCTATGGTATGTTGGTCATTTAAAAATGAGAGCAATTTTATCATTTCTATCACAAATTTAATTTCAATTCAGTATACAGTCCTTACAAAGAAATTTTAAAAATTCTGGGGTTCTCTTTTTTAATATCTTTGGTCAAGGGTCCCTTATTGACCTTATATAACTATCTTTATAATCTTATCCATAGCTAAAAGAACATTTTTCTCTCTATTTTTTTTTATTTTTTTTAGAAACGTTGGGCATCTGCATTGAAAGGTAGGACAATATCTCCTGTAAATAATTTTTTTAAGAGTAAACCCACCCTTCTATCAAAAACCCATCATCTTCTCAATTATACTTTGCTGATATGGAATAGTTGTAAGGCCCGCACACAATAAGTCAATGACAACAAGGCATTTTAACCTTTTTTTGTCACCATTTCGTTGCCAAAATCGAGCTTGATTCCTGCTATTATCACTACCATTTCTAGCCTCTTTGGCCTGCATCATATGGTCAAAATGAGTCAAAACATCATGCTGTCATTATGCATGGGGCTTTCAACTATTCTACATCAACTAACAAGTCTTTAATGAAATGAGTATTTTTCTCCTAAAAATTGTTTAAGGGGGTATTGCCCCACCTTTTAGTATAAGGTATTCAATACTCTTAAAAAAAGTTTAGGGAAAAAATGATCTTTAATCTTTTTTATTTATAAGTCATTTTCAACCTATTTTATTGTAATAACGAAAATGTTAAAATTCATTACCTTTGTTTGGAAAGTTAATAAACTTTCAATTTTATTCATATTAAATATGCTTATGTTAACTCCACCTATGTTTATAGTCAATCTCAAGCTCGAGTAAAGGAGGAGGGTTTTGTTAAGCCCTCAACAATCAGCGTAAAACTTTGTTGAATTTCACATGAATGTGGACAATGGACATTTTTGTACTAATGCTAGATTGTTGTCGCAAGTAGCGCTACATGGTTCAAGTATAGTGACAAGTGAGTTAGAGTCATTGCATTGTCATTTAGATGTAGTGTTAAATGTGCAAGAGCTGTCATATTATTCTGGATAAGTGTGGCTAAATAAGTTAATCCATGTGAGGACGATCAAGTTTTGTACTTGGAATGCTAGAACCTTGAATTGTAAATATATGGAGGTGGTAAGAGTTATGATTCATAGAAAAATTAATATCTTGTGCCAGCACAAAACTAAATGACTTTGTGAACAAGTTAAGGATATTTAAGGTTTCAAACTTTAGTATACAGGAAAAGTATGAACACACAGTAGGGCAGGTATCATTGTTGATAAGGAGTAAAAGAAGAACATGGTAGAAGTTAACAAAATTAGAGACAAAATTATCTCCTTAAAAATAATTTTTAAACATGAGACTATCAATATTATTAGCGTTTATGCACCTTAAGCCGAGACAGAAGTCGGTCTTAAGGAATTGTATTGGGAAGACCTGGAAAGGTTGACTCAATGCATACCACAAAGTAAAAAAGTCTTTATTAGAGGAGACTTTAATAGTCATGTTAGAAGGGAGGCAGGTCATTATACGAGAGTGTATGGTGGTTTTGATTTTGGGGAGTTAAATAATAAAGAATAATCTATTCTTAATTTCTTTTTGGCGTATGATTTCAAATTGCCAACACTTATTTCAAAAAGAAGGATGAGCTTCTCATCACTTACAAAAGTAGAGCCTCAAGATCACAGATTGATTTCCTTTTGATAAGGAACGTGAATAGAAAATTCTGTAAAAATTGTAAAGTGATTCCTAAAGATGCTGTAATGACACAACACAAGGACCTTGTCCTTGATGTGCGTATTATGAATAAAAATTAAAGGCGCCAATAAGTGGTAACTCTAAGGATTAGGTGGTGGCAATTAAAAGATAAAAGGCAGAAAATTTTCAAGTAAAATCTTTTGGCTGAATGAATTTGAAAGTCTTAAGGAGTGCTAGCATCTTATATAATGATGTGACTGAGAAAGTAAGGAAGGTTGCTAAAGAAGTTTTGGAATAATTAAAAGGTTTTTTCCCAAGAGATAAGGAATATTGGTAGTGGAATAATAATGTATAGGAAAAAGTCAAATATAAGAAAAAATGTTTTAAAACTATCCGTTTATACAATAATGATTTGTGAACACCATATTTTGTTTGAGCCCTTAAAAATAAATAAGATAACATCTTTAATAAAATAATAAAAAATTAATGAAAAAGACAATGGAATATGGAAAATAGGAAAACATTTTATAAAAACAATCTCTATAAAAACAATAAGAATAAAAATAGGAAAATATTTTATAACAAGAAAATGAATGAATAAATAAAAGGTAAAAAGTTTTGGATATAAAAATGATAAAAAATGGCATAAATATAATCAATTTAGATCACAATCTAATATAATAATAAACTATAAATATTTGAATATCTCAAAATAATATAATAATTAAAATATAATATAATCTAATATTTAATATTAAGATTTGAATATTCCAAAATAATATAATAATTAGATATAATAACAGGTAAGATAACAAATAATATCTAATATATAAATAGTAATAATCAAAGAATATATAAAATACTGATATAGATTAAAAAATCATGGTGTGATTGAGATTCTAAAGAAACCCTAGGTGTAGAAGATTTATATAAAGGAAAGTAGAAGTAGAGTAGGAGGACGGTTGGAGAGACTCAATAAAACTGTGAGATAAATAATAGAAGACAAAAACTAATAGAAATATATAAAGGTAAGTTCACATTTCCTTAAACTTTAAGCATGCATGCTTTTACATTGATCAAAGTTGAGTCTTAAAGCTTTTTCTAGAACTTTTTCACCTCCTGTACGTGATCTCTCTTCTAATTGGATTGCAATCTTTTTCTTCATGTGCTTGAATATTGTTTGTGTGAGGTCATGATTTCCACTAGCTATTGTTTTGTTCTTCTTCATCTTGTGTCTTCACATGTGAGCCTTGCTCTTTAAACTTTTTTTTTATGCCGTATGCTATAATAACATGATATGAGTGTTGGACTTCACTATGATTCTTTGATGAATTTTCACATAGAAAATAATAATAATAATTTCTAATCACTGCATATTTTATGTGATAATTATTATTATTACTATTATTATTATTATTATTATTATTATTATTATGTAACATATATATATATATATGGGGAATCTAATAGGTATCATGCTAAAATTTGGATATAAATGATGTGGGAAGGTATTCATGAAAAATTTTAAGATTTAAATCTCTATTTATTGATTCCTCATTATATCTACCAGGATTTTATCTAAGTAATTTGTTTGTTGTGGGAGACTTTCAGAGTCCTCACAAATTTCTAAGTTAATTAATTTAATATACATGAGGATAAATTATCAACACGTGCATTTACAAAGAGTTTTATATTCTTTTGATTGAGCGAGACTTTTAAAGTCTTTGCAAGTATTTAAATTAATTAATTTATCATATGTGGTAATAAATTATTGCAATGCATCATTAAAAGGATTTTACATCCTTTTGACTACGTGAGACTTTCAAAGTCTATACAAGCTTATAAGTTAATTAATTTATAATCATCCATAGCAATAAATTATCACTTGCCACATAATCTTGAAACCATTCATTGCATGAGACTTTTAGAGTATTTGCAGATTTATAAGTCAATTTGCTTGTCCTGTGCAGTGATAAATTATCACAAGTACATATTTCAAAAGATTTTCTCCATAAATGAAAATAAATGTTATTCTAAAAAATAAAAATAAGATAAATTATTTTGAAAGATAACCTCAGGATACATAAGATTTTCATAAATCATATTAAAAATTTATTTTACAAAATTATCCCTTAAGATATTGTCACAAATAAAGAAATAAAATATTTTCACAAATTAAAAATACAAACCAACATTAAAATTATTTTATAAAAAATTATTAATTAAT